TGGGCTTTGGCAATCGCTCGGCTCGTCGAAGCCCCTGCTGCTGATGCTGCCGCCGCCGCCACCGCTGCTGCCGCCTCTTCTGTCATCCCCGCTACAGGCTGCTCCACTAGAGCCACGAGCAGCCTGTCGAGCTTGCGAACCTGTAAACCAAGCGACAGGGAGGGCGGGCTATTGTGAGGCTCTTGCGATGATGATGAGAGGACGACAGGGAACGCGGGTTGTTTGGCTGCGTACTACGGATGTCAGTCGACTCAAAATATGCCAGTCAACTCAAAATATGCATGCGGATCATGCTTCAGACCAGGCTAGAGCTAGTACTAGTACTAGCAGAGCTATTTGTAGTATGTGACATTGATGTGACGATGTGAGGCCGACAGCGAGGCGGTTGTTACCTTTCGAAACGGCCAACGGATAATGCCGTAGTCGCGGCACTGCTGCTTCAGAACCGTCGCGCACACCCCCATCTGCATCGTCACCATCACGAAAGGGAAACGGGAAAGACGGGACGTTTGAGGTGACTTTTGAGGCAACGTTTGAGGCGCCTCAAGAGAATAATGCCGTGGTCGCGGCACTGCTGCTTCAGGACGGCCGCGCACACACCCATCTGCATCATCAAGTTCCCCCGGGCCCATCATGAGAGGAAAGCGGAGAAGGGAACGTGAGCGACACGAGACTATGGCGACAGACGAGGTCGGGGACGCACAGAGGAGCCCTCTGAGATCGACACAAGTCACGGAAACCGTGTTGCGACGGCTAGACGAGCCCCACCCCTCCCCCCCCGCCCCACCAAAAAAAAAAAAAAACTAACAAAACAAAAAAAAAAACAAAAAAAAACCAGCCTTGAGGAGTGTATACAGCGTGTACTGTGAATAGTGATGGGCATGTGGCAGTGGTACGACCTTGGCGGCGGCAAGGTTGATGGGCATGTGGCAGTGCGCTTTTGTGAGTTTTGAGTCAACTCAAAAGTCACCTTGCTAACTCGTACTGACAATGATCGTACTATCATCAGTGCGGGTAGTAGTACCTTGGCGGCGGCATGATTGATGGGCATGTGGAAGTGCGCTTTGATCTCGTCCATTGGAATGATTCGTGATCGAGCGGAGGAGGGAGCACGCGGAACCTGCCACAGCACGACGGCAGAAGAGCAGGCTTTTAGCAAAGAGAGTGGTGACTCTTGAAAGACCGACTCGTGTACGAGTCGTCACACCGTACGGAAGGCTTTTGAAGTACTACTAGAACGCTCTAAGAAAAAAATAGCGACGCGGTTTAAAGTGGGCGTGTTGAGACGCCGCGTCTGATCTCTCTCGTGCTCTTTAGCGAATGCTGGAGTTTGTCTCGTCGTTCTAATAACCATACGAGTTGATGGAAGTAAGACCTCCGCAGCCCACCTGTCTGCGTCTGACAGCGTCTGAACTCACTCGTGCTCTTAGCGCTCCCGCGACAAAGCCCATCGCCGTCACGGAATTGCGAGTTCTCAGAACCCGACACCGTCACCGTTCCCGTACCCGTTACCACCAGGGACGACGAAAGGTTCCGCTGGGCGGTTCAGGTGGCTGTCACTGAGACCTGTGAACTCACTCTCGTGCTCGTGGCGCCTCGCCAAAGCGCTTCGTCGTCACGGTGTTGTGAGTTCGAGTCCGATCCCATCACCGTCACTGTCCCCGTCACCACCAGGGACGACGAAGGTTCCGACTCGGAGTCCCGGTTTGCCAGGGCCTGCCGCCGCCGCGGCGAATCCCAGTCGCCGCCGCTGTCACCACCACCGTCGCCGAGGCGATGCGAGTCTTGAGGTGGGGACTTAAAGTCCGAGCCGCAGTGGTAGCCCTCGCCGTCGCCGCCGCCGCCGCATCCGCTTGGTGGACAGGTGAGAGTTGTCATTGGCTGGCACATTCTACTATCCTCCTCCACAAACGGTGCGATGACCCAGCGGCGGCAACACCTGAGGTGCGCCGCAATTTGCGGAGGAAAAATACGTCACAGCCTCTTCTGGACGAGAGAAGCTGGGAACCGAAATCAACTTATTGCGTCGGATGCGAAACGACTCGGAGTATCTTACTAGATAGAGAGTGAGAGAGAGAGAGAGAGAGAGAGAGAGAGAGAGAGAGAGAGAGAGAGAGAGAGAGAGAGAGAGAGAGAGAGAGAGAGAGAGAGAGACAGCACCAGGGGCTGACGATGGCGCAATGCGATGAACCGGCAAGACGGGCCCGAGAATCAAAGAGTGCGGATTTGAATCGAGGCTGGACATATCATATAACATCGCCTCGTATCACGTGACGATGGGGATTGTTGGCCTTGTTTGATAGCCAACGGGAACGGGAACGGTGTGAGTGGACTGTCACACACCGAAGGTGACTCGCCATCGGCGGGTGGAGGGAGAGGCACCCGCACCGGCGCACGCACAACGAAGATGTCTTATGGTGCTGTTCTATCTCTACTCAGGCAGTGGTGAGTCACCTCGAACAGCCAATAGTGATGAAGCTTGAAACCCTCACGAAGGACCGCTTGCACGGCGGTGCAGATCGAGCGGAAAGTGGTCTGGGGGAGGGGAGGGGTGCGACGAATATGGTCTGGGGACGGCGGGCGCGTGCGACGATGGTCTGGTCTGGAGTCAGATATTTTTGTTGACACTGTTCGGACATTGGCGTGTACAAAGTGCTGCACAAACTCGACGTTGAATCCTGACGGTTGGAAACTTTGATCCGAGGGTGGAAATTCACCGACGTTGCTCGACGTCGAGTTTTTGCGCACTTTGCAATGCGAGAGGGGCCAATGGTGGTGCTGTTCTGAATGAGACCCTTGATGCGAGCAAACGGTAGCTTCTTGGGGAGGGGGAATAAGGGAACTTTGAAAGGAGGGCGAGTGGGGGGGAATGGGGGGCGGGGAAGAAGGGGAGAGGGGGTAGGCGGAAGCAGAGGGGACGAGGCACGCAAGACATGAGAGCGTCCAGTCCACCAACGTGAAATTTGGGTGCGAAAGAGAGAGGGAGAGGAGAGAAGCGCAAAACTGAAGCCAGGATACAGTGCACATGTGGGATCTTGGGGGATGTGAAGCGATGGAGGGAGGAAGAGACAAAGGTGATGGGGGAAGATGGGATGGGAGGGGAACAGTGACGATAGCTCGCCAACTCTGGCGAGCTGTACACATTTTCGTGTTTCCAGTTCGCCACCTGCTTCCTTGCCCAATCTTTCCATCCGACCGTCACTGCTCCTCGTTGCGACCAGCAGACATGCGGCTCGCTGAGAAAATCTCGCCGGCTTCAGGGAAATCGTGCGAGTTTCATGACTCCCACACGATTCGCACATTCTTCCCCACATTCCTTTGCAGAGATTTGTCGCATCGCCCCCGAAACGCGAGTTAGAGGTGAGGGCGTGTCTGAAGTGCAAACGTCGAGTTTCGTCAATTTTCGTCGACGAAACTCATCCGTGGGACCCACGCGTGCTGGTGTCTGAAGTGCAGCCTGGCATCCCTCGACGAAACTCGACGTTCGTACACATGTCGAGGGATGTCGACCAGTGATACCGGGCAGCTGTTCGAGTCACTGTAGTCAGTGAGTGCTTCAAAAACAATTCTTCGACATGCCATGTCTGCATACCTCCTAGCAAACACATGTGACTAGGAACAAAGACGAGAGCGTCACGTGCTAGAGAAATTTCGCTGACAATGTGGCAGTAGAATATCCGGTGTTACCAGCAACAATCTACGCTAGCCGAAATTCGCGAAACTACAAACAATTATTTACATTAATGATTCTGTTAAATCCACGTCGGATTTTCATGGGCAACTTATAGCAGTGTTCCTATGGCACGTGTGGGTTATTTTGTCTTGTGGGTGTCTGAAGTGCACAAAGCTGAAAACGGATATCAAGTTTCGTCGAGGAACGTCGACGAAACTTTCGTCGGCAAACGTCGAAATTCTCTTCAGACACGCCCTAATGTCCACGCATGCAATGTCCACACGATTCTGTAAAGTCACCGAGCGGATGAAAGGGGCTAGTGAGTGGCGATTGGACTGTTTTCCACAATTGACGGAGCAGTAAGCAGCATCGTAGGAAGTTTCTGCTTGAACTGTTTCAAGTGCGTGCATCTACGTACTCTTTTGGCTAGATGTTACAACTGCACTCTGCGACAACACTTTGGCGGTGGTAAAGGTACAGTCGGTGCCCTTTTCAAGAACACCAGGTAGGCGGGCGGCATGTGCGTGAAACGTGTTCGAGACACTTCGCCACGTTCGCCCTTGTCGCCACGGACAAAAATGTGGCTGTAATATGAAATTGCAACGTGAATCGAGTCAAGGGCTTTAATTCCGTAACCAGGTTAACTTCTCTGATGACGGGCAACCGTTGTTGTTTATGAACTGTAGATGTTTTTCTTCCTCAACTTGGTGACTGTACCCTGAAATCGGCACAATGGTCAATTTAGTCACTCACGGGCAAAACGTTCGCGAGTGACTAAATTTCTAATTGTGGGGAGCAAATGTTTTGTGATAGGCTGAGCATCGACTGTACAGCAATCGAAGACATCAGCATTTCATCAGCCATGCTGGCACATGAGCTGCCGTCGACGACAAGAATACGTACATGTTGCACATGTCAAACGAAACTGTACTCGAACATCTCTGTACCTTGCTGGCGTTTCACTAGCGCTCCGACAAGTTTCACACGCTTGTCGGGTCAATAACTTTTGGCGAGCTGGCAGCAGCCAGCTCGGCTCGGCAGGTTTGTTACAACAGCCTGCCAGCTTGTGATCGTTGCAAGTCAACGAGACTTCATTTGACCAGAAAATGCTGCCCAGTACGATAGTACAGCATGGAGACCATTGCAAGGTTTGTGCGTTATATGTTATTTTCGAAGCACAATAAAGTATCCTTCCGTTAAAGCATTTCAATCTGTTATCACAGCCCCAGAAAAGGATACCATTCTCCCGGGAATAACTAAAGGAGCGACAAGAACCCAGAGATACACAGCTCCTGAAAACCACATGATTCCCATTTTCACCCAGGTGCTAGCCCAGCCTGTATCCAAGCTCCATTGAGCTGGATTTTGTTTCAAATCCCACCCTATAAAAAGCATTGTCATGTACATGGTTCCTGTTAAAAACACAAAATGGTAGAACCCGTGTCCGTACGACACTTTGCCGTTCCCCGCACCCTCCACATCCTCCCCGGAGTTTGGATGGAGTGAGATGCACCGCCGGTCAATCCCCACAGTGTAAACGGAAACTAAGATCGTGAGGAGAGCAAAAATGAACGCCTGTTAGGGGCAACGAGCATGTGAGAGGGGGGAAGAAACAGGTAAAGGTGAAGAACACAGCAGAAGAGACGCTGCATCGGGCATAAGCGTTCATTCTTCAGCACTGCCACGAGTCCGGACAGAATTAAAACGAGAGGAGAAACTAAGATTGCCATGAATGTTTTTTAGGCGCCTCAAAAGTCGTCCATTCTTCAGCACTGCTGGGACGTTCAGATGAAAGTGACAGCGAGGAGCGGAACTAAGTTGTGTGTGAAGGACCGCTAATTTCGCCATAACATCTGTCCGTGTCAAAAAGATAGCGAGGAGAGGAACTAAGATGGGTGTGAAGGACCGCTGAACTCACCATGACATCTGTCCATGTTGTTTGTCCTGTCTGCCTCGGGCGTGTGTTGCATGTCTCCCCGGGCGGCTCGCTCATGATTGCTGACCAGCAGAGGAAGACAAAATAGACCGCCATGACTCCAGTACTCAGAAGCCCCGTGGATTCCACCTGCAGGTGAACAGGTGAGGACAGACGGGGGTAGGGAGCACAAGTGTGCGGGCAGACGGGGGCAGGGGGCACAAGTGTGCGGCGCAGATGAGGGTGCGGGTGGGCAAGGGTGAGGGAGGAGAAGGGTGAGAGCGAGCAAGAGAGAGGGCGAATAAGGGTGAGGAGGAGTACGAGGAAATGTGAAGAGGCAAGCCAAGAGGGAGTTATACTCACAGCTGGAAGGAGGCAGACGAGGGTGAGGAGGAGAACGAGGAGGAGAACGAGGAGGAGAAACGAGGAGATGAAGTTTTTTGAGGCGCCTAAAAAATCAAGCCAAGGGGGAGTCATACTTACGGCTGGGAGGAGGCAGACGAGGGTGAGGAGGAGAACGAGAAGAAGCAGCGAGGAGATGAAGAAGAGGTTGAGCGAGCAGGAGAAGGAGGGCACGAAGAAGAAATACATGAGGGCCGCTGCTGCTGCCACTGCCACGTAACACACTCCGGTTACCACTGCCGCCAGCACGTGCCTGAGGGGTAGACAGGTTGGGGGGAGAGAGGGGATTGGGGGGAACAGGAAAGGGGATTAAGGGAGGAAGGCATTAAGAAGAGGTACATGAGCGCTGCTGCTGTCACTGCCTCGTAAGATACTCCAGTTACCACTGCACACGTGCCTGGGTGGTGGGAGGAGAGGTAAAGGAGAGGTTGAGCGAGCAGGAGAAGGAGGGCACGAAGGAGAGATACATGAGGGCCGCTGCTGCTGCCACTACCAGGTAACATGTTCCAGTTACCACCGCTGCCAACACGTGCCTGAGGGGTAGACAGGTTGGGGTCAGTGAGGGGTTTTGTGGGGAGGAAATTGGGGAGCACGTGCGGGGAACAGGTGATGAGGGCACGTAGAAGCGATACATGAGGGCGACTGCTGGCCGCTGCAAGGTAACATGTAGTGGCTACCACTGCCAGGTAACATGTAGTGGCTACCACTGCCAGGTAACATGTAGGTAGTAGTTACCACTGCCAGGTAACATGTAGGTAGTAGTTACCACTGCCAGGTAACATGTAGGTAGTAGTTACCACTGCCAGGTAACATGTAGGTAGTAGTTACCACTGCCAGGTAACATGTAGGTAGTAGTTAGAACTGCCAGGTAACATGTAGGTAGTAGTTAGAACTGCCAGGTAACATGTAGGTAGTAGTTACAACTGCCGCCAACACGTGCCTGTGGGGTAAGGTACATGGAGATTGCGGGAACGGGGTAGGAGGGGGTGGAGAAGAGGCAGACAAGCGCAGCTACTGCTGCCACTGCTGCGTAACATGTTCTCGTCACCACTGCTGCCATTCACTGCGTAGAATGATTGCATGATTGCATGATTGCACCAGAGAGCGTGAGGGAAGATGGGCGTGATGGCAGGAGCGTGTAAGGACAGGAGAGTGTGAGCAGCTTGATTCGATTCCGTTTCAACAGAAGCTCACCATTTCTTGTCTGCCTGCCACGTGTCATTCCACACAAAGACGAAGTTCAGCATGCTGACAAGCTGGATAACGACAAAGATCACCGCCCCCACCACAGCCACGTAGCCGTATATTCTCAACACCCCTGCACAGGATGGCAGAGGGGAGAAGGCCGAGGATACGTCCATCATACGGTCCATCATAAGGCCGAGAAGGCAGGTACTATTAGGGTAGTGAGACTCATAGGCAGCGGGGAGAAGGCCGAGGATACGTCCATCATACGGTCCATCATAAGGCCGAGAAGGCAGGTACTATTAGGGTAGTGAGACTCATAGGCAGAGGGGAGAAGGCCGAGGATACGTCCATCATACGGCCTAGGCAGGTACTAATAGGGTAGTGAGACTCATAGGCAGCGGGGAGAAGGCCGATGATGGACTAATAGGGTAGTGAGATGCATTTTGAAGCGCCTCAACATGCACCTCACTACAGAGGGTAGTGAGCACATGTGATTTTTAACTGCGTAACCTACCAGAAGAAATACTCAACCTGGCATACATGAATTTCAACCGCACTGAACCATCAGTTACCGCACTTGACACTTTTTGCTCATTAGTTCAAGGCACCTACTTAAGGGAAGAAAGACCGTCATGCCAAGCAATGCCACCCAGAGCAGCAGCTTGGGCAGCCACCAGCCAGAGTGCCACGTGTCACGGGCCCCGCCGTCCACGCGCGCCCCTGTTGTGGTTGCAGACATGAGCGCGAAGAAGAGAGACATGCCGAGCCCCGTGCACAGGACCACCATGGCTGCTGTGCATGCCTGATCGCCAGGTTGACATGACTTGAAACCTGTGGGAAGGAGGGAAGTAGATGTTGGAAAGTGGATATTTGTTACTTGAGACATGGGGGCGAAGAAGAGCGACATGCCAAGCCCCGTGCACAGGACCACGGTCGCTGCTGTGCACGCCTGGTCACCTGGCTTGCACTCCTTGAAGCCTGTGGGCGGAGGGGGATGATATTTTATAGCGAATATTCGCCACTTTAGACAGGAGGGCGAAGAAGGAAGACATTCCCAGCCCCGTGCACAGAACCACCGTGGTTCTGCACGCGAGGTCGCCCGGCTGACATTCTTTGAAGCCTGAGGGCGGAGGGGTAGATACTGTTTAGTAGATCTACTTCTGATATAAGGTCGAAGAAGAGCGACATGCCCAACTCCGTGCATAGGACCGCTGTGACTTCTGAGTCGACTCAAAAGTCAGTTTTTGAGTCGACTCAAAAGTCAGCTCGTTTGTAGATCTACTTCTGATATAAGGTCTACGAATGGCGACATGCCCAACTCCGCGCATAGGACCACTGTGGCTGCTGTGCACGCTAGGTCCCCCCGCTAGCACTTCCTGAAGCCTGTGGTCGGGGGAGAGGGGATAACTGTGTAGTCAATATTTACATTGGACATGAGGGCGAAGAAGAGCGACATGTTAAGCCCCGTGCAGAGGACCGCTGTGGCTGCTGTGCACGCCTGGTCGCCCGGCTAGCACTTCTTGAAGCCTCTGGCCGTGCTACTCACTGGGTAGATGCATGAGGGCGGTGTGGCCGAAGTTTCGTAAGCACCACATGGGGTCTGACTCGCTATAACACGAAGCATTATACATCTCATCCGCGGACTACTCACTGGGTAGATGCATGAGGGCGGTGTGGCCGAATTCGCGCAAGCACCACGTGAGGACGAGCGCGAGGAGGAAGAGGAGGCCGTAGATGTACTTGGCGATCCGTCGCGACGTGCCCAAAGAGCACGCTGCGACGTGCCCACTTTTGAGTCGACTCAAAAGTCACCTCCCGATGAGGAAGAGGAGCCCGTAGATGTACTTGGCGACGCGCCGCGACGTGCCCACTGGGCAGTGCATGTCTCTCTGTGAGAGATCACGCCGCAACTTGAAGCACACGTAGCAAGCTCACGAGCCTGCTCGCTGCTTCACGAATGAGCAGGTCATGAGGACTGACTCGTTCTAGCACGAATCGCTATGGAAGACAGCACCACATTGCTCACTGGGTAAGTGCATGAGGGCGGTGTGGCCGAAGTCCCGCAAGCACCACATGAGGACGAGCGCGAGGAGGAAGAGGAGCCCGTAGATGTACTTGGCCACGCGCCGCGACGTCCCCAGAGAGCACACCGCGCAGCAGCATGCGCCGAGCGACTCGCAGCATTGCGCGCAGCAGCACGCGCAGAACATCCTCTCGTGGCAACGGCCGCAGCCGCACGAGTTAATGAAAGTTGGAGCGAATTGAGGTGCAAAAGGAAATGAGATTTAAGACGGGCTGAGTTTTAGAAGCCTGGAGATTGCGAGCGAGCAATGGAGCGATTTAGAGGACACAGAGAAGAAGAATGTGCAACACTGAAAAGAATGTCTTATCGACTAGATTCCTTCTAAATACCTTCCGATTCTATGCGCGCTCAATGTTGTAAGATGATTGTAAGTTACGAAATGCACCTCCTTAGCGAGCGGAGAAGAAAGCGAAAGTACTCGAAGGGCACGTCTTATCGACTTCGTTTCCTGCTAGTGCTACATCTGACAATGAACCGTCAGCCTCTTCCCTGTGTTTATGCACCATGGCTGATAATTGTCACTGATTCGATCATCGGGATTCTTGTTCTCGGCTTGGTTCATCGTCCTGCATAAGAGAAGCTGGTGAGCGTCAGTGTGCATCTTCAAACCGCATCAAGCCATTCTGTAGCGTGTCTTCACGAAGATGACCATTCTGAACCGTCTAAAACCACAGCAGGATGTCGGACCTGGTTTTCTTCACTCTGCTTTCAGCAGCCCCGCCCAATTTGGTTGATGCTGAACCGTCCCCGACCTTCCTCGGAGTTTGGGGAGAGGTTTGCTGGAGAATTCAGAATTTTGGTCCGCGCGAATGCACATGTTCCCCCGCGTCAACGCGGAAAGCAGGGCGCAAGCAATTTCCGAACTTTGCGCACGACATTTGAAACCTGCGAGGATGTCCTCAAACAGTATGCGCGGTTCGAACAAAAGCAAGCCTGACAATTATTGGTGTCGCTTTCAAAGGTGCACCTAGATGATCACAATATACACTTCTCGCACAATGTGAAACTATACTTCCATGAGGACGAAATCTCTCCCTACCACGTCTTGCTTGTAGAGGCTAATGTAATGCTTCTGTACAGCTCGCATATGCGGTAGTGCTGTAATTTCTAGCGGAGCACCAGAGTGTCGCACATTTTGTTGTCGCAGCACTGCTGATGATCACTGGTTCACTGGACGTGGTATTCGCTTGACGACGCATGTACGCGACGTGCGATGGTTGCATCGCCCGTTGAACGTGGCGAGCCGATCCATACCGCCGAAGGCGACCTTCGCAGCCCCCCTCCGTCGCTTCACCGTCGATCGTGCATGTTGAGCGAGTGTATGCCATGTGGCGGTTTCTTATCGGTGTTTCAGCCCCTCTTCTCGACGACAGTGTCAGCCACAGAAGGTAACCGAGTCGTGAAACTTCGTTTAGCTCATTCACATTTTTCCCGTCTCAATTTTCTCTCATCCGCAGCCCTATCACCAGGGAATTGTTTCCAACCCAAGTTCATAGCTTGAGAAACAACCATTGATATCAGCTGGACTAGCACATGAAGTGAGCTTCACCATCACACCTCATGTGAGCATTATGAAGCAGGTGCGAATTGCTGCTTTTCCATAAGCGCATGGAGCTAACGTTATCGTTAGGTTAATAAGAGTATTTCCGTTAGCTTGAGGTGTTTCTTCTTCCAGTCGTGTGCCTGGAGGAGCCTAGAAGCTGATCGTTACCTGATGGAGTCTCAGCAGCATTTTTGCGAGTTGCTTCAGTGCGCTGCGAACATTCACGAAAACATTAGCGACGCGATCGAAAGGAGCCTACAGAGCGATTTTATTCTAGCGACGTCGGCGTCTGCTCCCCTAACCGCACGATCATGGTAAAGCACGCACGCGCACTCACATCACTTTTTATTCAGATAATCACAACAGCTAGTAGTCGCTCCTTTTTCATCCCGCGACATCACGGAATGATTGTAAATATGATTTATTCAGTCAACTGAACCTCAACCCATTGATCACGTGCTCACGTCCTTAATGTCTCGTCCTTCTTAATTTCCGTTTTTCCCTCCATTCTAGGTCAAGCCAGCGAGACGCGACGTCAAGCACCACGCACCCTGATTCCCATCAACCTGCACACGAGAGCCTCAAAGAAGCTCAAACCCGAAATCATAGAGGCGTCTTCAGCTCGAGCCCGCTGATTCTTTGGCCGAAGTTTCCGCTTGATCTGTCCACATCGTCTTCTCGCAAGTAAGCACCTGTTTTGAGGCGTCCAAATTCTCCGATTTCATGTCCTGTGCAATGCCGTGCACTGGTTCCCCTTCCATTCATTTTCCGTAAATATTTTCCGGATGGGATTTCCGGAGATGTTTCCTGGATGTGTTTCCTAGACGTAACCGGAACTGATTCTTTGTGTGTCGTGCGTGTCGTTTCGCTGATCACGGCAGCTCATCATCCAAGCAGACCGGCTCAGAGGCGCCTTCCTCTCTGTCAGAGCGTGGTCAGGCTGACGCTCCCAGCCATCAGCAGCAGCAGCAGAAGGAGCAGAACAAGGAGCCGCACACGCAGCATGAGACGCTGCAGGACGCGCTACAGCACACGCAGCAGCACGGCCGGCTGTCTCTGCCTGCCATGGGCACCAGGAGAGCCTCGAGGCTTGGTGAGGGTACTGCGGAGGCGCGAGTACTCATTGCTCTGCGCGATTCTCTGGAGATGGTCGAGAGCGGTTTGGAGCGGTTGATGGATCAGGAGCAGGTTCTGCAGCAGCAGCTGCAGCTGGAGCAAGCTCAGCAGCAGCGGGAGACGCAAGAGTGGGGGCCGAGAGGGCGGGTGAAGAATTCAACGAGCCACAGTAGCAGGGAACAACGTGGAGGGGAACGCGGAAGAGCATTGGCGGACGCGCGCGGAAGAACAGCGGCGGAGCTGCAGATGGCGCTGCGCGTGGTGTGGTCGCAGGGGGAGAGCCATCGCGGCCGCGAGGAAGTGGTATGGCTGCTAGCCTGCATAGCACTTCATCTGTTTCTCTTTCCATTTCTCTTGTTTGTTCGTTCGTTTGTTTCCAAGCATCATCCCAAGTGCCCTGCTTGCTTTCTGTGTCATGTGTCCCTAAGTCCTCATCTGCTTCACTTCGTGGCCAGTGTGTCGTGAAACTTTCCCTTCCTTTTCTTGCCACTTCCCTGCGTCACCTCCGCTCAATTCGCCACTCCCAACCCCTCACGTCATGAGAAGCTGTGTTTCACTTCATGGGCAGCTTGTGTTTTTTCCTAAACCCCCGTTCAATTCTTGCGTCCGTGTTGTTCCCTCTGTCTCTCCCAACCCTTCAGGTGGTGAGGGAACTGCTTCATTCATCGCCAGTGTCGCCCAGATCCTGCCAGGAGCAGACAATTCCGTAGCAGAGCAAATCCCAATGCTGCTCGCATCCTGCCTGTTCCTCTGCCCCTTCCAACCCTTCCTTCTCATTTCCTCAGGTGGTGAGGGAACTGCTTCACTTCGTCGCCAGTGTCGCCCAGATCCTGCCAGGAGCAGATAATTCCGTAGCAGAAGAAACCCCAGCACGACACGATGACAGGCAACCTTCTGGACGTTTAGTTACTGCAGCAGCCGCAGCTGTTAATGCTGCTGCTGGCAGCGGCCGTAGCAGCAGCAGCAACAGCGAGGGCAGCAGGAGGAACAGAAGCGGAGAATCCGCAACTAGGCCAACAGAGTTGCGCAAAGCTGTTGATACTGCTGCTGCTGGCAAACCCTCGTTTCCTTCCCGCTCTCCCTCCTCCTCATGCGGAGGTTCCGTCACCAGGAGATCACAGTCGCCCAAAGCTGTTGATACTGCTGCTGCTGGCAAACCCTCGTTTCCTGTCCGCTCTCCCTCTTCCTCCTCTGCCTGCTCTGGCTGCTCCGCACACTCCCCTCGCTCCCGGCGTTCCCAGGCCAACACGAACAGCCCTCGCAGCCCCCATTCCCGTTCTTCTCATACCCATCATTCTTCTCACAGCCGCCACTCTTCTAAAAGCCGCCACTCTTCTCAAACCCACCATTCTGGCCCAGCGCCACTCTCTCCTCATACCCGTTACAGGGACAAACGCGACAGCTCTAGTAGCACAGATAAGGCCGAACCAGGCGTTCCGCCTTCCTCCTTGGTGACTTTCCTGGCACAGCAACAGCAGCAGCCAGGCAGTGCGAGGAGCAACCGTAGCACAAGGAGAGGTGACAGCGGCAGCAGCAGTGGCAGTGGCAGGGGCAGCGGCACTGGCAGGGGCAGTGGCAGTGACAGTGGTTCCAGGAAGAATGGAGGCAGTAATGATGGCTCAGCTCTCAATAATACGAGCAAGGAAGCAGATATTTGTTTCAGTCAACGCAAATCAAACGCGGCTGCTGACGTCACACCTCTCTGTTCCACGTCACCCTCTTCCACGTCATCATTGCCGCCCTCACCTTCACCTGAAGGCTTCCCCTCGCCTCCCCCGCTGCTGCCGATTGATCAGGATCAACCGAAGGAGGTGGAGGAGGAGGAGATGGGAGCGGAAGAGGAGGAAATAGGGAAAACAGCAGCGGGAATAACAATTGCTGATGATGCCTCTGTAATAATGCACGTCTCACCTGCTGCTGCGGCTGCCACTGCCGCTGTTGCCATCACCAGTGCTTCAGCTCTTGATTCCCCTGACACCTTCTCATCCACTTTTCCTGCACCTTCTGCATCTGCTCCGGATCCTCTAGCTCTAGAGCCTCCCCCCGTTTCTACTGCCTCACGCCTGGTCCCCCTGCCTCTGCTGCCACTGCAGCGCCTAGCCCATCCTTTCCTGAACAATAGCTTCCGTCTTGTTGACGCTCTTACGGGCGGCATGGCTCAGCAGGTTTCGTCTGGGTTCTCAGGCTTGCTCCGGAACGTGTGCAGCAAGCCGAACCTGTTTTCCAAGCCTCTCGGTCAGCTTGGGTCCTTGGGCGGCACGGTGCTCGGATTGGGCGGCGCAGTGGGGGTTACTGTAGGTTTGGCGCTCATGGCTGCTAATGCTGCAAACGGAGGGGTTACTAACGGGGTGTATCAGCGAGTAGGGGTGCCTCTGAGGGTGGAAGCAGGGAAAAGGGAGTGGGGACGGCAGGTTGATGCTGAGGAGCAAAAGTACTGGGCTGATGAGTACAGTGCGAGAGTGTATGCTGGTACTGGGCATGACAGTAACGAGTACAGTCCTGGTATGGAGGGGCATAGAGAGTGGGGCGGAGGGGAGGCTGAGGAAAAGGTGAGTATTCCTGTGGAGGAGGGAGATGAGAGGGGAGGGGAGGAAGTGATGGGTTATGCGGAGATAGTGGGAGGACTGGTAGCGCCTGTGGTGCGCGGGGAAGGGTATGGAATGCATGGGGTAGGGTATGGGAAAGGGTATGGGGAAAGGTATGGGGAAGGTGTCTCTTCTCCCAGCACTTCCTCTGGAAATTCCTTCAAAGGATCTTCTCCTGTCATAGCTACCTCTTCTGGGAGTGATGCCCCTGTCCGTGTGCATGAGATGGTGGGGGACTCGCCTCTGCATGTGGTGAGTGAGTGGGAGGGGATAGGCGGAGGAGGGGAGGAGAAGGAGGGGGCACTGCATGTGCTGAGGCAGTGGGAAGGCGGGCAGGAGGACGACTGGGGGGGTGCTCAGTGGGACTGGCTTGCAGAGGAAGATGATGAGGAGGGGTTTGTGAGAGAAGAGGTGGAGGAGTGGGAAGGGAGGAGCGAAGGGGTGAGTGAGGGTGGGGGGTTGATGGGAGCAGGTTGGGGTTGGGAGGAAGAGGAGGGTGATGTAAGGGGTGGGTTGCATGGTGATGAGGATGGGACTGCAGTGTGGCAGCAGGGGCCTATCCCAGGGGGGTCTATGGGAGGTTCTACCCAGGGGTCTGTCTCTTTGTTAGGGGTGCGGCAAAAGGAGGAAGTGCATGGTGATGATGGTGGTGGTGACGCTCTGGGGCAGCAGCAGCGGAAGTGGTCCCATGACCACCAGGCATCAGTGGGGGAAGCGGTGTCACTGGAGCGGAAGGAGGGGAGACGCAGTGATTTGGTGGGTCTGAGTGCTGAAGAAGAGAGGGGACATATTGAAGGACGAAGCATTGGTGGTGGTGTGGAGCGTAGGGATGTTAGATATGATGGAGACAGGTTAAGTTTAGGAAGTGCAGGGAGGAGGCGAGTGGAATCCTTGGCAGAAAAGGATTGGCCGTTGTCTGCAGGTGGATAAACTTTGAGACTTGCACATTGTTTGCTTGTTTAGATGCAATAACCACATGTTGACAAACTGGACAATGGCTGGGCATTTTTTAAAAGATGGTGTTGTTTCTTTCACGGAAAAAAAATAAAATCCGGTAGGGGGTATTTTGGCAGGATATAGATGCAGCAAGAGGATAGCAGAATGAGTTGGATCCCATGCAGATCAGGAAGTTCAGCTGGCTGGCACTGTGCTATGGTGGTAGCACATGAAGATAACTTCATACTTGACATTTTTGCACGTCATGGCATTTGAACTTGTTTCAACAAGCACTTCTCACAGTCTCTTATGCATTTTCAAACGTTTCAGTGCACGCACATCAGTGGGTGTGCGACGGCTCAAACCTGAACTGTGTAACTAACGACCGTTTGCGAAATTATCCTGGCGACTCTTCGTCTTCCAAGTGGATGCTTGACCACCACCTGTTTTCTCCGCTTGAATCTTTCCTTACCGCAATTCACGCGTGGATGCCATCATGCTGATGTGTATTTTTTCCAAGGCAACTGGTTGGGAATGAGCTTGCAAGCAAGCCAGCCCTTGCCGACGTGCCAAGGGTGTTGCACGCACGTCGCTGCGAGGCAATGGGGGCTTCAACTGGAAGAGGCTCGGCTAGTAGACGAGCTTCTTGATTAGCTTCGATCTTTACATTTCCCGCCAAAATTGAAATACCTTACAGTGACCTGGTTCAAACTACGAGTCGCGTAGCTCCGAGAGTCCTCCACTCTTCAGCACAAACCGTGCCTGAACTCTTTGCTATCATAGGCTTGGAACTCGAAGCAGCATGTCGCATCCTTGTCGTACACGTTCGCCCTTGCTGGCCGAGAACGTGTGCGACCAATTTGCCACACCCAGCTCACATTCGCATCATGGCTGGGGCAGCCCTTGCGAACCGCAATGACGGCACTGTATCGCCACTATTTGGTCAGGCCTTCGGTTCGGCAGCTGCGGGCGCCCTGTGGTCTGGTTACGAATGGCGACTGGGATGGGCAGGCATGTGTGTGCCTGAATTTCTGATCAGCCATTCCGCCCCTCTTGTCAGTGTCAACCCTGGGAACTCCGGAAATTCCTTTCATAGAGAACTGCATTTGATTCCTTCCCTGCGCAACTCCTTCCCTTGGCATACCATGCTTCAGACTTACAGTCAGCAATTTAGCCAGTCTACCCTGCAACCTGTTCAGTCCGAGTAATATATACTCAGTTTGTACTAGAGAAAGGGACTGTTTCTAGTGCTTCTGATTCACCATTAGTCCGTCTCTTTAGCCAGTGCTCCTGGGAACTAGTAGTCTTAATCCATTTCTCAAACGTTCCCGCAGGTGTTGAGGACACAGATGTTCATTTAGCTTTGTTCATTGGCTTCGTCGCCCATCGCAAGAACGACCTTCAAGATGGAGCCTACCATTTTAGAGAACATTCAGCTGACTCTTAACCCGACACGAAGCAGGTGACGCTTACTCCCGACACTTTCCAGCACCATCCCATGCCATCAGCAGCTTCTTCCATCGGAGCTGCATATATACAGTATTTTTATCGAACTCGGGAACCGGGACAATATGCTTACAAAAAAACCTATTGGGTTCGGTTCACTGACAATTTGGTGTGACCGTTCGTCGCAGGTGCGAGGTTCTCATTTCGCTCAATGGCAGCACAACGGTCATTTCGTCCGGCCTGCTCAAGCCGTTCGCGAGCCACATAAAGGCGGTGGAGGATCAGCTCAGCAGCGGCTCGCACCTTATCAAGCTCGACCCGCGCACACGCACGCATTTCCTGAAGCTTCAGAGGCAGAAGCTGCGGGGGGGATATGTTCCGCCTGTGGAGGAGGAGGACGGCGCGGATGTTGACGAGTTGATCTCTTGGTTCACTCGAACCACCGTGGAAAGGTAAGGTCTTGTGCTGTTGAGGCGCCTCAACAGGACGACGCGGATGATGTTGAAGAGTTGATCGCGTGTTTCACAAGGAGCACTGAGGAAAAGTATGTGGTCTTATCCACCGTCGAATCAGCGAACAGCGCGGATGTTGACCAATTCCGTCTCGTGGTTCAAGGGAACCACAGTGGAATGGAATGAGAAGGGCTTATCCTGGCGACCCACGTGCTGATCATTCAGTTTCGTGGCACGATTAACACGTAAGACTGATTATCGTTTTACTAAATTCGAGGCGATAATGGCCTTGAGAGGCTGATTTCATTGCCTACCAAGATCGTGATGGAAAGGCATGCAAACAGTCGAAGCCACGAGAAACAAGCCTCGGCGTCTCGCCGCGAATCGACCCCTCTTTCCGCCGTCTTCCTTCGTGTATCGTTCTCCTCCTTCCTTCGTTTCTTTACGTTCCTGTCCTGTCTCCCACCCGGGCGGTGTGGTTCCTCAGCTCCCCAGGGCTCATCGAGCACGCCGTGGCCACCGCTTTTTTCCTCCTCAAACCTTCTCCTTGATGTCCTTCCTTTGCTCCTTACTTTCTTCCTTCCTGTCTTCCTTTCTACCACCAGGGCGGTGTCGTTCATCAGCTCCCCAGGGCTCATCGAGCACGCCGTGGCGATCGAGAGGAATCGCTCACCGCCGACTCTTGCCCTCATCCCCACTGTGTCCAACCTTTCTCCGGGCTGCTCCGTCCGCTCCTTTCTTATCCCCCACCAGGGCGGTGTCGTTCATCAGCTCCCCAGGGCTCATCGAGCACGCCGTGGCGATCGAGAGGGAGTTGCTGCACCTCGAAGAATCGCTCACCGCCGATCCCTCTGCCTCTCCCGCCGCCGACTTCGCCCAGGTGAGGCAAGGCTTCCGTTTGGATATATGCCAGACTAAGCTGAATGTGGTGCCTACTACCCTCACCGTCAGCGTGGTTTTTTTTTCGCCAGTGAAACGGAGCATTAGACTGTTCAATTCTCCCCTTCACGACCACACCGCTTCCTTCCGTCCTTCCCGTCTCTCCAGTCCCTCCCCGTCTTTTGCTCCCTCCCAACCTCCGTCCTTCCCATCCCCTCCCCTCCCTTCCCGTCCTCTCCCCATTCCCCACCAATTCCCGCCATGTGAATCGTTGGACCTCAGAACGACACCAAGTCTGATGCAGGTTTGACCGTCACCCCACCCAGCATAGTGCCAATCGTGCCAACACTTTCCAACACGTGTCTACACATCTCAACACATGATAACCATGCCAGACATATCATGCAAATCGGCACCAACTCCAAATGCACCTTTTCTCCGCCTCATAACCATATCCGCCCTACCATGCTTCCCTAGTTTTCACCACCCGTTGCGCGCGCCTTGTTCATCGCATTGCTGAATTTCCTTCCATTTATTCTCTACACGAGTCTGTCGCTTCCGTTCACACCGAAGCGGTGTCTCCTCCCTGCTGGCTCGTTCAAACTTACTCATCTCACTCCTTTTCTCTCAACCCCCTTTCCAATTCTTCCTCTCTCTTCTCTCCGTCGCTGACCTCCCCTCCCTCTCTCTCTCGCCTCTTTTTCCAGACTTCGACGGTGACGATCGTGGCATGTCGCTCACTCGCGACAGCTCGCTGCGTGCGCGACGCTCCAGCTCTCGCTCGCCGTCGCCCATCCGGCGACTCATTCAGGTGCGATGGGATGGGAGTCGCCAAGTCGCAACACTCCGCACATTGTGGCTAACTTTTCACCCGCTTATTCACACAACATCTAGATTTCCCTCTCACACTCTACCCACTCACCGACCCTCCTTCTCTCCTCCTTATCTCTCCCTCTCCCCTTCTTTCTCCCTCACTCTCGCTCGTCCCCATCCGGCTCTCCCCCCCTTTCTGTCTCACAGAACGGGTTGCGAACGGTGGCGGAGAGCAACGGCAACGAGGAAGGAGGCGAGCTCATCATGTGAGTGCCTCAGAGACTTGGTCCCGGTCTTCTGCTTTTGGTATCTTAGTGACTCTTTCTTCAACTCCCTCTACTTCAACTCCCTCTTCTTCAACTCCCCTGCCAACTTCTCCCCCGTCCCTCGTCCCCCTCCCCCTTCCTTTCCCCTTCCCTTTCCCTCTCCCTTTCCCCTCCCCTTCCTGTTTCCCTCATTCTCCCTCCACCTCCCCTTCCTCCTCCCCTTCCGCCTCCCCTGTCAGGCGCATCCGCAAGGCGATGCACATGCGCCTGGGCATGCTGAGGCGCGAGCAGAACGTGGCGGTGGCGCGCGCAGCAGCGGGCGGATTCACGCGCGACATCCTCTCGTCGCTGCTGCTCTTCGCCGACTGCTTCGACGCTCTGCGCCTTAAGTGAGCGCCCCACCCTGCCCCCGTTCCCCCTCACCTCCGCCCTGGTCCCCCCCTCACTTGCTCCTTCCGCCCCAATTCCCTCTCACTTGCTTGCTCCCTCTCCTCTTGTCCCGCCTCAATTGAGCACGTGTCCCTCAAGTCCGCGCTCCTCATCCCACGTGTCCGCATACGCCCCCCCACGTGGCTCCCACGTGCCTCCTACGTGCCCTTCTCTCCCCCCAGGCAAGCGTGCGTCCAATTCTCCACGCTCCTCCTCCGCCGGGATTCCAAGCGTTGAGAAGTCTCAAAACTAGCCTCCCATGTGCCCACGTGTCCCCCACGTGTCCTCCACGTGCCCCTCCCCTCCCCCTCTCTCCAGGCAAGCGTGCGTCCAATTCTCCACGCTCCTCCTCCGCCGCGAGCTCCAAGCCAACCCGCCGCCCGCCGCCCCCCCCGCCGTGTCCGCAGTCTGGCTTCCCCTCGCCCCGGATGCCGCCACCACCGCCGACCCCGCGGACGCCGCCGAGTCCGGCAGAGACTCCCCCGCTGCGGACGCAGCGGCTGCGGCTGCTGGACCCTTCGCTATAGGCACTCCCGTTGGTGGTGCCGGCCATACCGGCCCGTACTCCTTCGTACCGATGTATACTTCCGGTTCGTCTGGCTACACACCCGGCAACCCCTTCCCCTATGGCCTCGTGGCTGTAGCCCCCGGTGCTACAGCCGCCGCTGGCCAGTTCCCCGCCGCTACAGACATGGCGGGGTTCGGGCGCGGAGGGGGGAACGGCGGAGCTCTAGGGGGAGGGCCGCCGGGGGCGGTTAGGATCGGGGGAAAGCCGGTGTTCGGCGTGCATCACCACCACTACCACCGCATGGGGGGCGGCGGGCGGAAGAACCGCGCGGCTGCGCGCATCTCCCCCAAGCTCCGCTCGTGGGGGAACAGCGGTGGCGCGGGTGGCGCCGGTGCTGGTAACGGCGAGCGGAACGGAGAGCTCGCTGACGTCAGCAGCGCGCGGTACTATGACTCGGATTCCGGTCTCCCTGGCGGAAGGGCGCGCGGCGGAGGCGCAAGGGGAGCGGCGAGCGGAGGAGGCGGAGCGGGGGAGGATATGGGGATTATGTCCGAAGCCGACAGCTTCATCAGCACCGTTGATGTGGATGCGATGAACGGTGCGGATGCGGAGATGCTGGTGCTGGGAGTTGCGGGGCGTCCAGGGAGCGCTGGCGGGGGGTTTGCTGGGAGCCGTGGCTGGAGCAGGGTGAAGGGGGGTGGCGGGGGAGGGGGAATGGGGGGGATGCTCCGGCGCAGTGGGAGCGGGAGCCTGTTTGTGCGCCCGTCTGCTGTGGCTGAAGGCTCAGATGAGTTTGATGACGCGGATGAGGAGGAGGACGAGGAGGATGACGAAGGAGCGGGCTTTCCAGAGGGGAGAAGGCAGCAGCAGCGCAACAAGCAGCGCCAACAGCAGCAGCCGCAGCAGCCGCAGCAGCAGCAGCCGCAGCAGCAGCAGCTGTCACAGCTCGTTCTAGACCCAGAGCTGATGCGGAGAATCCAGGAGGTTCAGCTGATGCAGCCGGGGAACCAGCAGGAGGCGGAGCTGCAGCAGCAGATGCTGCAGGACCTGCTGGCGCGGCAGCAGCAGCAGCTGCAGATGCAGATGCAGCAGCAGGAGCGGCTGCTCCAGCAGCAGCAGCAGATCCAGCAGCTGCAGCAGGCGAGCAAGCAGCGCGAGGAGCAAGAGCAGAGGGAGAAGGAACAGCAGAGGGAGAAGGAGGAGAAGGAGGAGGAGGAGCAGAGGGCGCTGGAGAAGGAGCTGGCTGGAAAGGACTGGCTTGCGGATCCCACCACTCTGGCGTTCCTGAAGCAGCCTAACACAGCCCCGGGGGCGACAGCAGGAGGCCCGGGCGCAGGGGGAAATGACAGTGTGTTGTTCGGCATTGGCAGCGGCAGTGGCAGCGGTGGCAGCGGCAGTGGCAGCGGTGGCAGCGGCAGCGCTGGTTCGGACTCTGGGCCTTTCTCAGACGATTTCATGCTCATGTCTGGTGTCTCCTCTCCTTCCCCCGATTTCCTCACTGGTGGGGGAGGAGCAGGAGCAGGAGCGGGAGGGGTGTCTGCTTTTGACCGCTCCCGTTCCCTTAACCAGGTGCCTTATAACGGGGGCGCGAATCTGGAAGCGGAGATGCTGGGGGTAGTGGCAGGGGCGGGCGCGGGGGGGGACTCCTCCGCCCGGGATTTCCTCGGGGAAGATGCGCTCCGTGGGCCTGTGGACGAATCTGGACCGTCGAACCACGAGGATCTGATGGCGTGGGAGGCGTCGCTGGGTGAGGCGATGCTGGTGGGAGGAGGGCCGGATGGTTCTTCCTCTTCGTCCTCTTCTCTATATGGAGATGATATGGAGCTTAGCCTTGCTGCTGAGAGGGCTGCAGGAGAATCAGCAGGAAGGGGCGTGGGAAGGAAAGTTGGGCCAGGAGGAGTGGGAGCGAGGGGAGTGGGGGGGGCGGGGAGAGGGCAGGGAGTGGTGGGGAGCGGTGTGGCGGGGCGAGCTGGGATTGGCGCGCGTGGGCGGAGTTTGTCGTCGTCTTCTGCTGTTGTTGCGGGAGCAGGACGTGGCAGGGGCCGGGCGACAAACCCGCAGGACCGTGTTCTGATGGAGATGGAGAGGAAGCAGCAGGAGGCCGCTCGCCGCAGGGTATGTTGCCTCCTACCTCACAGTTCGCTGTACCTCTGTTTTTTATAGTTGAAACAAAACACGCCACAGTCCTCGTAGCACCACGATGTTACAACAAATCCCCTACCCTCTCAGTCCTCGGTACCTCGAACCAACCATCAGGGTCCTCGGTTCTGATGGAGATGGAGAGAAAGCAGCAGGAGGCTGCTCGCTGCAGGGTATGTTTTTCATGCGATGAGCTCTCTTGTTCCCTGCTGTCTTGTCTGTGGGAAGGCATGACCCCACTAGGCACCTTTTGTCCCGTTCCCCCATTCCCTCCCCCTGCACCTACCTGTTCCCTTTCCCTCGTGTGTGCAGGAGGAGGAGAAGAAGCGGCAGCAGGAGGCGAGGCAGCAGCACCTCAAGCGTGGGGCGACAGGCCTCGTCCGTTCCACCTCCACCTCGGGCATTGAGAGGCGCCGCACCACCCCTGCCACGTCTGCTACTACCGGCGTTACCAGTGGTAACCGCACTGCTACCGCCGGTGGGGCTGCTAGGGGTACCCTTGGGTCCCTTGCTGGTAGCAGGTCCCTCTCCCAGCAGCATACTGCTTCCTCTGCCATGAGACTCGCCGCTGCTGGGGCTACAGCTGGTGGTGCTGCTGGTGGTGGGTCGTCTGTTTCTGGGGCTGCACGGGTAGCTGGGCGTGTTGCCGCACGGCCCTCGAGCCCTGACCTGTGCCGGGCCGGGCAGCGGAAAGTTTTGTCCAGCCCGGGGTCGGGACCGCGGAGTGCGACTGGTGGGGCGAATGGACGCAGCCGTGACATTGTGAATGCTGTTCCCTCCGCTGCTGCTGCTGCTGCAACTGCGGCGAGTGGAAAGGAGGGATCAAAGGTAGAGGCGAACCAAGCAGCAGGCGAAAATTCTGTGGAACAGGTTGACCAGCAGCAACAGCAGCAGCAACAGGGTGTTGCAACGGCAGCAGATAGCAGTGACGTGATGCATGTAGAAGATATTGCCGAAGAAACATCTGCATTTGCTACGGCTGCCGCTGCTTCTCTGCTAGCCTCAGCAACAGATGTTGTTGCTGCTGTAGAGCCAGCGGCTCAGGCCGCTGCTCCTGCTGCTACCACTGCTGCCACTGCTGCTGGAAACAGTGGCAATGGCAGCAGCAACGGCCGTGCCCGTCGCACTGTGACCTTCCAGGAACCAGAAGCTTCTGATGGCTACGACCCCAGTGCTGGTCCAGGCAGTGAGCAGCAGCAGGGGCAAGAGAAGGAGAGAGAGAAGCCAGGAAAGGAGAACAAGGGGAAGGAGGCCAGCGCATCACCAGCGGCACCACTCACAATGGCAGCAGGGGGAGGAGTGAATGTTGGGGGAGCAGCTGTCTACCACCACCCCCCTGGCATGCCGCATCACTCCCCATACGGGTCCCTCCCAGAGGCAGGTGGGGTGGCACAAGGGCGACGGGCAAGCATGGAGGGCCAGGAGAAACTCGGGATGCTGAATAATGGCGTCCATATGACCAATGCTTACGGGTATACTGCACATACTGCACCCCATCAGAGCCACCCTGCTGCTGCGCCTATGCTTGTTCATGGGGGTCCCGGTGGGGCAAGCCCTGCGGCTGTGGGGTTTGGCGAGGGGCTTAGAGAGGCAAGGCTGAAGCAGGAGCGGGAGTATTTGGATATGTTGAGGGAGAGAGAGGCTGCGTGGGTTGGATCGGAGCAAGATGGGGGGGAGAAGAAGAAATCGTCTGGCTTGAGGAAGCTGTTTGGTGGCTTCGGAAAGTAGAGTACTTAGTTAAGACTAGTTTGGGTGGTGGGCTTTAGTCATGGTGTTGCCTGTTGGGTCTAAAGATATTAGGAAATGGCATTGTACTAGATAGTTAGTGTTGTGCTATGGGTTCCAAAAAATGTGGTGAGTAATAATTTTCTGGCAAATTGAACTCTTTTCAAGCATACATACTAATGTATCAGAGCAGGATGAGACAAATGCTGTGTACCGGTTGTAGATATGAGATTGAACTCTTTTCAAGCATACAAACTAATGTATCAGAGCAGGATGAGACAAATACTGTGTATTGGTCAACCGTGTATAGATATGCACCTTCATCCTCCGTGCTTTCGTGCCTTTCTACCTCCTTCGTGACGTTAGGGCGCGTGTGGTCTGTTTAGAAGTTCAAAATAAAGTTCGAACTTTGGGTGGTTACCCTATTCGCTAATTTCGCGAAGGGTGCTTCGCGAACCAAGCATTGTATGGGCTCTGCAAAAGTTCGAGTTTGAAATATGAACTTGACTCGATTCGGAGGCGCGAACGTGCGTGCGCACGTTCATGCGAGCGTGTGTGATTTGCAGCACGTCCGAACAGCTGGCGAAACGGGCGAGCGCTTCGCCAGTGCATGAAGTTGCACAACGAAGACACCCCACAATTCGTGCACACAGTGGTAGCCACGTGTCGAGCATCGTGGCACGTTCGAGCACGATGTGGCAACGCGTCCCGCCCGTCTTGACGTCAGTCAAAGAAACTCCCGCCCTTGCCCAATCCACGTCCCCCGCACCAAATGTCTTTGAAATCCTTTGGGAGTGGAAGGCACTTGATACATTCAAATATACCACCCTTCTTCAACACTTGTGTACTGTCTACGCAAAGTCCACTCGACATGACAAACGACAACACTAGCGCCCATGGCTCTGTCACACCGGCACATGCTACCACTCCAGCACCCTCTACTCCCGCATCTGTCGCTGCACCGGTCCGCGCACCCGCACCTCAGCGGCGTCGGCGTGCTGCCGTTGATCCGGGCGCTTCCAGGCGCCTTGAAGTTATCGACCTGGACGATATCGTGGCGCGTGTACCAAACCCGAACACTCCTCTATGTGCATACGACGACACCCTCGCGTACTTCGACGCAGGCGAAATCGACCGCGATGGCGAAGACGGTGCTGACGACGACGCCGATGCAGCGACGCCTAGCGACAAAAAAGGGTGGGAGCCGGCGGAAGTCATGCAGCTGGCGTGGATCCGCCACGACTTCGACGAGCAATATCGGAATATGTGCCGCCTGCAAGGCCAGAACCGGGACGTCATGCTCTACGAGCAAGTCCGTCTTCGTCACCCCGGATGGCGCCATGGTCTCGCAGCCACGAAAGCCAAGGTTTTCCGGATGGAGGCTCACTGACGGAAGGTGTCGGATTTAGTGCTCAAACCTTCACGGTAGGGGAAGCCCCCGAAAATGCCTATTTTCTATGACATTTTCGATAGGTTCCTAGGGGATCGGGCGAATGCGCGTCCCCCGGCGCTCGCGGGCCCCTTGCTTCCCGCAACTACTACCGCGCCTCCTCCCCCGGCTCGTACCATTCCTAGTAAGTGTTGATTGCTGTTTGATGTGATCCTTATTTTTAACTGCTCGTTATTTAAGATTGATGATACTAATACAACCATTCATCAAGGTGGCATGTAATTATGAAACCACCCAACACCCCCCTATGCGACGCCCATCACCGGCATATGTGGCGTCTCCTACCACCGCATCAGCGGTGTCTGCAGGGCCCGATGGCGTAGCGGCATCAGCAAGCCGAGCGCAGTCGGCTCGTCGCTCACCCAATCCCCGCCGAGTGACGGCTTCGCCTGGTCACTCCCCTTCGCGCCAGCCGTTTTCGTCTCCGTCTACGTCTGCGCTTGCGCCGGACGTGTCCCCCGCCGGTGCCACCGCCACTGCATCTCCATCCCATTCACGCGTCGTCGGCGCGAACGCGGGTGTCGCGCTCCATGGCCGCGGTGTCTCCCGCCGGCCTGGGCCTGCGGCTGCCGAAGAGGAACATTCGGGCAACGACACAATGGGAGGTGGTGTTGGTAACCACATGAACTCAAGTGATTCAGTGCTGTGTGCTGAAATAGCGGGGATAATTGCGCAATCGGTAAAAAGGGCTATGCGGGACCAATTTGATGAGTTTTTAGAATGTACCGAAGAGATGGCTGAGAGAGCTCAGGATGCCCGAGCCTTCAGGAAGCGTAGAAGTACGCCGCCAGGCGAGATCGACGACGAGTCGGAGTAAAGCCCGCATCGCGCGGCGAGAAATGCGGGGCTTCCGCAACGGGTCCTTCCAGCCACCAAGTGTTGCACTCACGAGGTTCGTTCAGGCGGTGACGAAAGCCGAGGATGAGGTCGATGCTGTGAAGCACGATGCAGGCGGAGACGACCTGCGGGGCGCGGAAGACGTCGCACTCGAGGCGCCCGTCCAGGATGCGCCATTTGGTCTTCAGCCTCCCGTTCACCTGCTCCACGATCATTCGAGTGCGGAACTGCTGGAGGTTCCAGACTCGCTGCTCGTCGGGAAGTGCGCGATCGGGAAGGGCATGGTAGGGTGTGTAGATGTAGGGCCTCAAACTATAGGCAGCGTCCGCTACTAGCGTGTAGTCCAATATCCCTCCTTCTTCAATTTTAGTTCTTGCAGGGCTGTTCATGAAAACCCGAGCGTCGTTGATGCTTCCGGGGTAGCCTACAAAAAAGTCCCAGATGAGACCCATACTGTCGCAGATTAATTGGCAAATAATAGAAAAGAAACCTTTCCTATTTCTGAAGTCTTCGCAATGTGGTCCCATGCCACGGCAGTGTATGTAGGTCCCGTCCATGGCGCCTACCACCCCAGGTATTCCGGCTTGAAGGCGAAACTCTGTCTCGAACAACTGCATCATGTCCATGTCTGGCCACACGACCCATTTGGGCAGGAGGACTTCGTTGACGAAAAAAAACGAACTTCGCAAACATCTTGTGGGCGTGGGACCAAGAGTAGCCGAAGTGAAGCCCAATTTCGCGAAATGTGAGACCATGCCCAAGCCTGCTAAGTCCCATGGCGACGAATACAAAGTTATTGTCAGAATCCCAACCACTAGACCATTGGGATAAAAGGGCTTGTTTCAGTAGCGGGTCAGTGCGCCCATAACCCCCCAGGCAAACGCGCCTGTACCCCCCCTAGGATCGATCAGGGATCTCACAGTGTAGCTCTACTAACACCCCCCCACACTGGGAGGCCCAGGACTGAGCACAGTGGCAACGGCCAACATGTGCATACACCGGGATTCGAACCCGAGACCACTCTGATACCATGTCAGAATCCCAACCACTAGACCATTGGGATAAAAGGGCTTGTTAAGTAGCGGGTCAGAGTGCGCCCATAACCCCCCAGGCAAACGCACCTGTAACCCCCCCTAGGATCGATCGGGGATCTCACAGTGTAGCTCTACTAACAGTTATGCACAGGATGCTTAAGTGTAGCGAAACGGCTGCGCTGATACTGGCGCACTAAGTAAACGAAAACGCGTTTGTCAACCCGCAAATACTCATAGAAATTGTCCTCGGGCAGGGATGTTATCAGTCGAAACCAACGCACGCGCGCGTCAAGGCGGTCGCCAAGCACGAACACCCAGATCTGCCTGAGAGTGAAGGCCGAGACGAGCGTGGGGAGTGCCGTGCCAACAGCGTTGAGAACGGGAAGCATCACCATCTGCAAGTACCCCTGCCATACGATGCCGCGAAAGCGGACCAGCTGTAGGGTTGTCATGTTGGGCGAATAACGAGTATACAAGGTGTTGCCACGGGGGCTATTTGTACCCTGATTAAACACTTTGCGCGGAAGGTGAGTTGGAGCTCTAGGTCCTTGTAAACCGAGGCGCAAAATGTTGACGTGGCGCACCTTCAAGACGAGCGAACCGGGTAACCTATAATGTTGACGTGCGGCTCGGCTCGTTTTTACAAGTTCGAATGTGGGGGTTCGACCTTGTATGTGTGTGTGATTTTTTACAGTGTGGTAAGCCCGATGTTAGAACTTCGATAGAAGGAAATTCAAACTTCTTTCGTTGTAAGTTCGAAACTAAAATTCGCCCTAAAAACATAAACTTTTACAAATTTCAAAGACCTCACGTGTAAGGAATTTTCCCGAATTCCTTAGCGGGGTTGACTGCTTCGCGTACAACCCGATTTTCGGAGTTCGCACGTTCGGCCGATTTCAACGCTGCCGAGGCTCCTCACGTCGCCTTCGGCTTTCCTATCGCCAAACCTGCACCCAACCTCGCTCGTCCGAGGTTTCCTCCTAGCTAGAGTAGTCCTACATTAGTCTGTGCATTCATTGTATTCGCAGTTGATTCAGTCACAGCTTCGTTATTCGTTTACCTGCGCACTCTCTTTTACAACTCATAACACCTGGTATCAGAGCTACTTTCCTAGTTCACCCCGCTTTTCCGAGGGTAGTTTGGTGGCATAGGGTGTGGCTGGTTTAGTGACTACACGACGGTTGGCTGCAGGGATTGTTAATTCAATCCTGCCCGACTCCGATAGTTCGTGTTTTCATTTGCCTGAAGGCCACGGAGACCCGATTGCCCACCAGACGTAGCGTTAGGCATATGGATCAGGAAGCGGTCAAGAGGATGATGGCGCAAGTGGCCGAAATGCAGGAAAGCATGAAGACGTTAATGGCGGAAGTGACGACACTGCGAGAGGAAAACGCCGAACTACGCCAGACGCGAGGTGAAGCGCGTCAGGAGTCGCCTGTGGACGAAGGCGAGGGCAACAGTCAGGCGATGAGCAATCCATTGGATGCGCTCACACGTGACTTCGAAGAGGAGGATAGGCAGCGAGCGGCAGCAGCTCCAGTTGCAGTGACAACGATCAAGATCAAGCCCGTCAATCCACCCCCGTTTAATCCTACGAACAAGACGGTTACGGTAAAAGGGTGGTTGTTCGGGGTCGAAGTCTTTTTTACTGCAGCCGGAGTTAATGACGACGCCACGCGTAT